GTGAGTTCGAATCCAGGGCTTCCGTGATTGGCTACACTTTGCTGATGTAAGGTCAGAGTGAGTATGGTTTTACGCCGCTTTTAGTAATATTCCAGCAATATCACTGAGGGGGACACAGAAATGGGCTTCACACATTGTACCCATGTGGGATCGAGAGGTCAGACTCACTAACTTGGTTGACACATGTCACCGTATCCCAATTGCGTAATCCGATGATCATGTTGTTGATCACTGGATTGACTGGTCCAGACTCTATTATTTACTTATCGCCGCCATATAGGTGCAATATAGTTGAGTGCGGGGTAAAACTAAATTCACTAACGCACTCGCTACGATCTGAACGTGTAAGGTACCGAGTACAATGTATGTTATTTACCCCTGATATAACGAAACTAACAACGAAATGAACATACGTACCACGCCTGCCTTACAGAACTCGGGACTGGCGAGTTTTTGGTGATGGTATTGAGTAGTATGGTTTCCCCATGCTTAACAAATCAAACCTATTCCCATGGCATCCCGTCATTGAACATTGTGTGGCTTGTTGGTTGTCGTTTAGGGCGCAGTGATAAATAATCTAGTGATTGACATCATGAGCATCGATCTGCAAAATTGGGGTACGATGGCAGGGAGCCTGACCACAGACTCCTAGTCGCCACTTCCCATAAACATTGCTTGCTGAGTGAGTGAGTGGGTTTATTTTTACGCTGCTTTTAGCAACATTCCAGCAATATCAAGGCAGGGGACACCAGAAATGGGCTTCACACATTGTACGCATGTGGGGAATCGAACCCGGGTCTTCGGCGCGATGAGCGAACGCTTTAATCACTAGGCTACCTCTCAGCCCCGATTGCCTGCAGAAGACCAAATCTTATCTGGATCTTCAATCGGCAACGTGGGGCATAATTACAACGCGCAGGTGTTTTTCTCAGGTTGTCAATGTCATGATGTGGGGTTAAGTTTCCACGACTGTGCAGGGCATATCATGAGTGACAGCTGAAGACGTCAATAGCTGGATCCGATCATTGTTCGAGATTTCGATAACCACGCTTTACTGCCCCGACCCGGCCACATGGACGACAACGCGACAGTACACCATTTGATAGATTTCTAACAGAACGACATGAAGACCATAAGTTGGTCGCCCAAAGTACAGAACCTGGACTGACCCGTGTCACCAGAACCATATACTGGGAATGGTATAATTTTCACAAGGGATACGCGAGACGTATTTATCTCTGAGGTGAGGTGAGGTGAAATTGGATTTTACGTCGTACTTGAGAATATTTCACTCATATGACGACGTGCGTGCGTGTGTATGTGTATGTGCGGCTGCTTGTACTAGCCCAGACTGAAGCTGGTTTTATAGTGCTAGTCCACTGAGATACCATGCCGCAGTGAAGCATGAATACCCCACTCAGACACAGTATACTGACTCCGAGCCGACCAGTCCTTGTTGTACCCAGTAATGCCGAGCGCCAGGCAGGGACCAACAAGTACCATATTTTAACGTCTTTTGATATGACGCGGTCGGGGATCGAACCCGCGACCTTCAGCCCTACGGGCGGACGCTCTAACCACTACACCACGGAGGCGGTCATTTATCTCTGAATGGATTGCAGGACTAAAATCGTCATCAAAACTATCTCCTTTTCTTATTTTTAAACAAATTTTGAACCAGAGAGATGTTTGAAAGCTGTGACTATTCCAAAATTCAGGCGTATACTGGCGATTATAATTGAAAATAATTGAAATATAATTGAAAAGGGGAGGGCATTAGGTATCTGTAGCGAAGAAGAAAATTGTAAGCTTTGTAAAAATGGAAGTGTTGAGCATAAATTTCATTTCATGTTCTTGTGTAAAGCATTTATACATTTGAAACAAATTTATATCACCCAAAACATTGTTTCATAATTTCATTCTGACCACTAACAATGATGATATAATTCAGCTAAATATGTTTCTTATGCATTTCTGCTTAGAACATCTTGTTAAAATGACTCGTATTGCCTGCGCATTGTTAAGTCTTTATCTCTTGTGTGAGTGAGTTTAGTCTTCACATAGAATATTGTCTACGTCCGCTGGTTGAAACAGAGGATTCATTTGACAACATGTGAATTGTGTGAAGCGCAAGTCTCAGCCTCTTGCAGAGATGCCAATCATTACGCTTTTGGCGTAATTATTACGATTTTGACCATTAAATATTACGCCATTACACTTAATCTGCGAAAATTACGCTTTTCAACTTGTTTTACGAAAAATCAATAAAGTGGATAAAATTTAACAGGGAAGTGTTTTATAACGCACAGGTGCAGGGGTGCAAAATGGTCTTGCACCGATAGGAATCGCTTACTCTTAGCATCGCACTCATTCCAATTAACTCGCAAGGAATTAAAGTATTTTGAGTAACATTACCAACAATTTTCGATTTATGGAGCTTCATAATGATTCGTCACATGTGTTTCTGTCTGGAATCTTCCTTTCGTGAAAACGTTTTCCATTTTGAAGCGATCGGCAGACAAGGACTACACTTTTTAGGTCCAAATTACACTTTTTGATCTCAAGTATTACACTTAGGCCCAAAATAGGGTTGGCATCTCTGCCTCTTGTGTGAGTGAGTTTGCCACTCGGACCGAATTAGTGAAACCAAGAGTACGGGTAGGGCGGTGGCAAACCTGAACATATAATCTGGACAAAGGCGTGAGGAGGTTTTAATAGGTCATCAAGCCTGGTGGTGGGTTTTCACCTTATTGACATTATCGTCACAGGAAGTCATGTTGACGCCATAACGGTAGTAACAACCATCCATGATATCTCGCAACTCCATACTTAAGTCTCGTTCCAGTTTTGTGGATAACACGTTCATCAATATGATGATTGTTTCTCTAAAGTGTTTTGATTAGTGCCTTTATTTATCGAATGTGTTTGTTCATTTGTTATTTCTCTAAAGTGTTTTGATTAGTGCCCTTATTTATCGAATGTGTTTGTTCATTTGTTATTTCTCTAAAGTGTTTTGATTAGTGCCTTTATTTATCGAATGTGTTTGTTCATTTGTTATTTCTCTAAAGTGTTTTCATTAGTGCCTTTATTTATCGAATGTGTTTGGTTCATTTGTTATTTTTCCAAAGTGTTTTGATTAGTGCCTTTATTTATCGAATGTGTTTGTTCATTTGTTATTTCTCTAAAGTGTTTTCATTAGTGCCTTTATTTATCGAAAGTGTTTGTTCATTTGTTATTTCTCTAAAGTGTTTTGATTAGTGCCTTTATTTATCGAAAGTGTTTGTTCATTTGTTATTTCTCTAAAGTGTTTTGATTAGTGCCTTTATTTATCGAATGTGTTGGTTTTGTTATTTTCAGTGTTTTGTATTGCCTTTATTTCTCTAAAGTGTTTTCATTAGTGCCTTTATTTATCGAATGTGTTGGTTTATGTGTTATTTCTCTTTAGTGTTTTGATTAGTGCCTTAATTTATCGAATGTGTTGGTTTATTTGTTATTTAAGGCCGTACTCAACAATATTTTAGCTATATGACCACGGTCTGTAAATAATTGAGTCTGGCCCAGACAATCTAGTGATTGACACCATGAGCGTCAGAGGTGGAAGTGTAGACAGAAGTGACGGGATAGGTCGATAGACGTCAAGGAAATGGAGGGATATAAGCAGGACAATCAACTGAAACATAGATAGATGTAAAGATTGGTAAAAGTATACATAGAGTTAGAACAATGGGTAATGGTAAAATCACTTCTTTGAGTGGCATTTTAGAAGTTGGAAGTCAGATAAAACAAGTATATATGGATGACAATTTCTAGAGCACTCTAGAATAAAGGAAGTTGTCATCCATATATACTTGTTCTAAATAGTAAAGTCAGAAATAGAAAATGAGGAATGATTAGAGACAGAAGTGTATGCAATGGTAGGAGAGATATTGGCTTTAAGCAATATCAGAGCGGAGAGACCAAAAAAGAAGCTTCACATATTGTGCCCATGTGGAGGTGAGGTGAGGTGAAAGTGGGTTTTACGTCGTGCTTGAGAATATTTCGCTCATATGACGACGTGCATGCGTGTGTATGTTTATGTGCGGCTGCTTGTACTAGCCCAGACTTAAGCTGGTTCTATAGTGCTAGCCCACTGAGATACCATGCCGCAGTGAAACATGAATACCCCACTAAGACACATTATACTGACTCCGAGCCGACCAGTCCTTGTTGTACCCAGTAATGCCGAGCGCCAGGCAGGGACCAACAAGTACCATATTTTAACGTCTTTTGATATGACGCGGTCGGGGATCGAACCCGCGACCTTCCGCTCTCCGGGCGGACGCTCTAACCACTACACCACGGAGGCGGGCGTGCCCATGTGGAGAAATGAGCCTGACCTGCATGGCCACAAGAACTTTAACTCACTCGACCGCTCTGTTAGTATAGGTTGACGTAGAAGTAAAAGTAGACGTAAATATAGAAAGGAGTGGGGGACGACGAAGAAATAGAGGTGGAAGATGATTGTCAGCACAACATTCCCAGCATTGAGACAAAACATCTTTGACCTTGATATGTTTCATGGTAAAGAATCGACTACAATCGCACTGAAGTTACAATTTATTGGTCGCACTTAAGTTACAATTAATTGGTCTCATTACATTTTCCTGCCATCGTTGAAGATATCAGACCTCGTCCACTCTCAGCCTGTCATATCTCCACAGAGGAGAATATTCTTCTTCTTGACATGTGTAATACGACAGTCCCCCTGGTTTGAACGCGATGGCCTGGTTTTCCCTCTCTTGGGTGTACTGAAGGCGATGGACCGTAGGGGTCGGGTTACATAATGCAGCTTCATAATCTCTGTTGGACACGGAGAACAAGTAGACGTATTCATTAGCTTTTAGAAGTATCATCGTTCCGCAAGATGAAATATCGCCACTTGTTGGACCACTGTACCTTGATTCGACAGTAACCTCACATACGTACTTGGCTTCACCGTTTTCAATCTTGAAGAGGTCCACTTCATCATCACCTTCAGGTATAACGTATATGTCGTTTTCGGGACTCACCATCAACGTTTCCATATCCTTAGCGACGCCACTGCAACAACAATAACACGCGTTATCGGTCATTTTCCTAGAACGATTCCAGCTTGGGTCCATGCAGGGAGCAAATGTACTGTATGTTCCCATGGTCCCTAGTGTAGTGATCTACCTTCAGTTGTTGATGAACTATAGCCCGGTTTTATATTGTGCTGCCTTCTATCGTTAGAAGGTTTTAGGTTTTCGTGCTAGTTTTTATGCCCCCGCCATATATGGCTGGGGGCATATAGGGTTACCCTCGGTGTCCGTCCGTCCGTCCGTACGAAACAGGGAATGTATTCTATCCACTTCTCCACCATAACCGCTCTGTGGAATTCAATGAACTTATACATGGGCTTTCTTGGGACTCTAATGGTGTGCATCTCATATTTTGTTTTTTATTTTATTGTTTTTTTTGTAAGTTTAGAGACATTTGAACTTAGGTACATTTTGCTGAATTTCTCTATGATGATAGTGTAATAGGGGATGAAGTCTATCCACTTCTCCACAAAAACTGCTCAACAGAATTGAATGAAATTCTACATGTCTTTTGTAGGGACTCTAAAGGTGTGCATTTCATAATTTTTTATGCAATTTCTTAATTTTGTCACTTTTACAGATGTTTGAACTCAGTTGAATTTTGTTCTATTCAGCCAGTGTTCGTTCCATCCAACAGGGGGTGTACGTTATCCACTTCTCCTCAAAAACTACTTTATGGAATTCATTTAGATTACACATGTGCTTTATAGGGACTCTAAAGGTGTTCATCTCATATTTTGATTTTGTATTTTATTTATTTTTCCAATTTTAATGCCGTTTGAACTTAGATAAATTTTGTTGAATTTCTCTCTGAATATAGTGTTGTAGGGGGTGAAGTCTATCCACTTCTCCACAAAAGCTGCTCAACAGAATTGATTAAGCTTCTACATGTGTTTCGTTGGAACTCTAAAGGTGTGCATCTCATATTTTGTTTTTGTATTTTATATTTGTTTGGTATGTTTAGAGTCATTTGAACTTAGATACAGTTTGTTGAATTTCTCTTTGATGATAGTGAATAGGGGATTAAGTCTATCCACTTCTCCACAAAAACTGCTCAACAGAATTGATTGAGCTTCTACGTGTGTTTCATTGGAACTCTAAAGGTGTGCATGTCATACCTTGTTCATCCAATTTCTTAATTTTGCCTTTTTTACAGATGTTTGAACTTAGTTGAATTTTGTTCTATTCAGTCTGTTCGTTCCATCCAACAGGGGGTGTACGTTATCCACTTCTGAAAAACTACTTTATGGAATTCATTTAGATTACACATGTGTTTTATAGTGACTCTAAAGGTGTGCATCTCATATTTTGATTTTGTATTTTATTTATTTTTCCAATGTTAATGCCGTTTGAACTTAGATAATTTTGTTGAATTTCTCTCTGAATATAGTGTTAAAGGGGATAAATTCTATCCACCTCTCCACAAAAGCTGCTCAACAGAATTGATTGAGCTTCTACGTGTTTCATTTGGGACTCTAAAGGTGTGCATCTCATACTTTGTTCATCCAATTTCTTAATTTTGTCACTTCTACAGATGTTTGAACTTAGTTGAATTTGGTTCTATTCATCCTGTTCGTCCCATACAACAGGGGTGTACTTTATCCACTTCTCCTCAAAAACCACTACACAAAACTCATTTAGCTTACATAAGTCTTTTATAGAAACTCTAAAGGTGTGCATCTCATATTTTGTTTTTGTATTTTATAGTTTTGTGTATGTTTAGAGTCATTAGAACTTAGATAAATATATAGCTTATACATGTGTTTCATTGGGACTCGAAAGGTGTGCATCTCATAGTTGCATAGATGTTTATTGAACTTGTTCGTGAATTTTGTTCAATTATTGATCTTTATATGTCTTATGAATGTCAGCGGGGGCATCCGTGTCCCTGGACACAATTTTTTCTTATTTATATCTGTGATCCTGTAGTTGTTTTACTGTCCTTCGTTGACAGGGTTTTACAATTTAACTCTATTTATTATAAATCTCTACCATTATTTAGTCACGATATGAATGAGTGAGTGAGTGAGTTGAAATTTAAAGTCAGATCGGCAGTATTTCAGCCATATCGTGACTAAGAAAGTTGTAAATCTATACATGAAACTTATATAATATACTTACCCGTCTGCTAAGGACAGTAAAACAACGAGATTATCACAGGAATAAATTTAAGACCAGTAATTAAATATAAATATCTTAACTATAAATGACAATACAATATAAAAACAGGCTATAGATTACCAACAACTGAAGGTAGATCACCATACTAGGGACAATGGGGACAGTCAGGGGACCTACAGTAATTTGCTTCCTGCATGGGCTCTAGATCTATTTACATCATCCCTTCAGCTGTTAGCAAAGTAGAAAAATCTAGCTATACATTAAAAATACACATGTTCTACGATAAAAAGTGGAGAGTTTAATTTTACTTTGAATGTTTTGGGACTTATGTACCCTCTCAGGAGGACTAGTCACGATATGGCTGAAATACCGATGGGACTTAATTTTTTGACTCACTCACTCACTCGAACTAGAACGACCTCAAGGACACTGCCCCCAGTTTCTACCCATTCACTTTCATTTTGGTATAATAGTTCCAAGGAATGTTGTATATCTCATACCCTGAAGCAGTATGATAACTAAACTACTGTCGGAAATAGAAAAAAACAAACTGTTTTTAGGCTGTTACTCTCTATCCCTAAAATTGACAAATTTCCAAATAGCATATATCAAAATAACCCAAATCGGCCTAACTGGGCATTCAGTGGGATGCGTAATGGTATATCCAGAAAAGCATGTTTACTCGTAAAATCGGGCAAAACTTAGGAAAAGTACGGATAGCTGCTTAAAACAATAGATCGGACTATAGATGGCAATTAGGTCGCTCAGCCAGGTATGACGACGGACCGTCGACTTACCTGGCATGAAATGCACGTCCTGCCTACAAGCCAAGGGGTCATCTCAAAGATATTTTTATGCTTTTTCATGTGTGTTGAATATGTCTCATCTATTGATCATAAAGTTAATGTTTAGATGCGTAAAAGGGTATGATACCCATGGAAAAGCTTAAATTAGCCATCGTATTAAATGTCTCAAAATATATAGGTGGCATGACCGCCCGAAGATCGACAGGACTGGATAATATTTGTATATTGTTATGACATGCCGTTTGCTTCCCAGTTTAATTCCCCTACAGGATTATCTTATCTCAGCTTATATCTCTATCCCCCAGCCCGACCCCAACCACCGTCTACGACACCCGTCCTGGATTTGCTCTTGAGACGACCCCATCCTACCTGTTTCTTTTTATAGGGATAGTAAGACTCGATGGAAGCTACATCCTTCATAGCTTCAGTATTGAAGTTATTATTTTTTACGTCAGATATCGTTTATAATGAAGCTAAGTTTAATTTCAAAATGGAAATTTAAAAAATGTCCTTTGTAATATAATATCATCACACACCAATTTACATAAAGCCATGGTATGTTCCAAATAAGTCGCTTTGGACTCATTTCTAATTTCTGCACTAATCTCTCCTCAGTAAAGTCCTTTTTCTACGTTTCCTATCTCCCTACCACTGAGACTGTAGTTAAGCCGAACTTAGTTTAACAGATATTTCACACATACACGTATCAACTACATAAATTGTAGATATCAAAGCGAAAAAAAACAAGTTTTTTCTATTTCCGACAGTACTTTAGTCCTTGTTTCAATGTCATAATGAGTGTATCAAGAGCGAGCGTAGTTTTAAGCAACCTTTTGCAATATTCCAGCAGTATCACTGTGTATGACGCCATAAATTTGTTTCGTCTATTTTAACCATGTTTGGAACCGAACTCAGGACTGGACAGGTTCAAACCACCTGACTTCACCAGCGCTCTGGGATAGTAATACACTGGTCAAACATATCATCCTGACAAATTATGAAAGTTTACTTACGTGAAGGAAATGGTTTCGTCGGGATCTACGGTCTTGACATTCAATGGGTCGTCTGGCTCAACAATCTTGTAGATGTTGTTAGCAGGATATCCGTTACTGCCTTTACCAATGTCACCAATGTAGATGCAGTTTGACTTGGACCCTGCATCGCAGGGAGCTACGGCCATGTCCTCCCAGTCATGGTTTTTGGCACCTTTTACTTCTATCGTGTTAAGGACTTCACCGGTGGTGGCATTGACCACATAAAAGTCGTTGAGGTTGGAGGAAGAGGACTTGTCGTTAGCCGCGTATATGAGATCTTTGTGGGATAAACTCACGCCTATGCCAGATATGTCATACAGATCATCATCCGTAAAGTAACCGGCGTAGCGACGATCGCTGAATTCTGCCAAAATACCAGTTGCATTTGATATGACACATGTACATGGACATAGCAATTTGCATCGGTTGTGAATACTAGGACGAATATCAACTTGGAATTATTCCCTTAAACATATTTCTGTGGATGTAAAGGGCAAATTAGTGGTGAAAACTATTTGAATGAATGATTGACAGTGATGTGGACAGTTGCATGTTCCCCAGATAGAGATGTACAAATGTACTAATATACTGTTATGTGTTGAACATTACGCTCTGAAAGGTCTTGTTTGGTTCGACAAAGCAGCACGACTTGGCGGAAATCATGTTTGCCGTTTGGGCTGCGTGTAAAGAGTATGGCAAGGGACTAAGCTAATGATGAGGTTAACCTGCCTGGCTGTACCAGGATCATCGGATCCAACTGTAGTTATATAGTGTACTTGTAAATGATACAAAATATTAGTTCCTGTGTTCCTGTTTGATTGATGGTTCAGAAAAGAGTCAACCAAGGGAAGTGCCATATCAAATCAGCACAGACTCACGTTTTCAAGGGAAGGCTGTGTGAAATGACCACTGCACTCAGTTCATGTGCAGTGTGTTGAGAAATCCTGGTGAGATCTTCTTTTAGAACTCTTCTTGTCAGAAAGGTGGAAGGCTTGCTGCTGAAGACCACTGACATCCCAATCAATGCCATCCAATTGTAAATATGAAATGTAGATTATGCAACGAATTTAACAAGACGGTCCAAACCCTTGTCAGTGGATGCCCAACAGTGCCTTAAGTGACATGATGGCATTGTCATGCTTGTGGATCTGATTCAGAGGTCCTGATGTAGAGGGCGTCATATGTAATAGGCCCGTATAGAGCCTCAGACGTCTCCGGCACAACAAACCTGACCTTGTCCGTTTGATAACACGAATGAAATTATGACATTGCGAGATTCCCGGATTTAGTACCTGAAACCCCTCTGACACTCAGAATGCTGCAGTGTTGGGGAGTCTCCACTAAAGTTCTTGGTGGGTCTGACAACGCAGGGAGAAGTCCCTCCCAGGCTATTGGCTGACATTGCGAGATTCCCGGATTTGGTGCCTGAAACCCTTCTGACACTCAGGATGCTGCAGTGTTGGGGAGTCTCCACTGAAGTTCTTAGTGGCTTTGACTAGGCGGTTAGACGTCCCATTCGGTGTCCTTGCTGAGCGTAAAATGGGAAAGGGTCCTGGGATGACAATGAGCTTAATCAGCCTACCTGTGCAAGATCACCCGAACTCTCTTTGCGGCATTCATTAACTTAAACTTGCACAACATGCATATCATATACAAGGAAGACATACAGGTGTAACACAGACATAAAACGTCAAAGCAAGTCTGAATTTTGCGACAGAAAAAGATTCAGTTCCAATGTTTGTTGCATGAGGATAATTATAATAAATTACAGTTTAAGTGTTTCAATTTCATGTTGTATAGTGACAGAGGTGATGTTAGTGATGTTGGGGCTGACCCTGCCGAAATACATGGTATCATCACTATTTGATACTGATTCATGGCTTGGTGCTGATGATATTGGCGGAAGCATACAGTTAGTAGATGTTACGTCTTATTGTGAGTTAGTGAGTGAGTTACAATTTATCGTCACATCGGCTATATTTCAGCCATATAGTGACGAGAAAAATTAACTATAAGCAATATCTGTCACAAACGACAATAAAACATAATCATGTTATCACAATTTGAGTCTAAAAACTGACTTTTTAAACGTCTTATTGTGCAAATAATTTGGTCGTCCTGGCAACACAAACATAACAAGTTGTTAAAGAACAAATAAACTTTACCATTACATATGAAAGACGTGTGGTTAGTCTTAAGCGGAACACCAAATTCGTTCTTAAAAAACATGTGGTTGATTAATACCGAGCGATTAAAAGTTGCCAAAAAGTAGCCTGCTTCACTCTCGCCCGCCAACGAAGCCACAGAGAGGTTATG